CACCCCCTCCCCCCCATCACCATCACCACCACCACCCCCATTACCACCAACCACAGTCACCTCCCCACCCCACTCCCCCCGCTTCCTCTCATCCCTCGTTAAAAACAACCACGCTCCTTCCCTCGGCCCCGGCCCTCAAAGGCGGGTTCTCCCCGGCCGGCATTCGCCAGGAAGGTCTCGTAAGTCTTGCGGCCCCATGACAAAGGTGTCGAACTCGGCGTAGAGAGGCGGCAAAGTCGATGGGTTGGGTCGGCGACGATCCAGGGGGTGGTGTGGTGCGGGGAGGGAGGGCGATGATGCCGTTGAGGGTGGGCGCGAGGTTGTAGCGGAGGAGGCGTGTCATTGTCTGGTTGTTTTTCGGGGTTTGTTTCTTTGGGGGTTGGGGTTGGGTTGGGTTGGTTTGGGAGATTTGGGTTTGGGAGGTGGGAAAGGGCGGGGAGGTATTCCAGGAGGGTGGGTGGTGTGGTGGAGTGGTATTTGAGGGTTTCGAGCATCCTTGACTGAGTGGATGAAATCACATCTCGGCACTGTTTTCCGCCGGGCGGTCGTGAACGGAGGAACAAACCCCAAAAGACTGCAGATCAAGACGGATTCGGAGGCCAAGACGGCGCTGATGCACCCCGTCTTACCGTTAGGGCCAAACGCCGACCTTGGCGCTTTGAACGTTGATAGAGGGACTTGGAGAAGAGGGGGAGTGTTCATCAGAGCCAGCATGATAAACAGGAAGTGGGAAACGGGAAAAAGGGACCAAGAAGCGAAAGAAAGAATGCAAAGAAAAATGGAAACGAGAAAGTGAAAAAAAGAAAAGAGAAAATGCAGAGGCATATTCCCAAATTGAAAACAGCCAGGCTTGCTTGGAGACCAAACTCGTTGTCCACGACGTCCCCAGCCTTGCGGTACTCTTCGCCGCGAGTACAAATGGATAAACACTCAGTCCTTAAGCTGCAGCAAAAGTGGCAGGGCTTCTTGCCATCGTCGTCAAGGCACCGTATGTGTAGAGGTCCGAGATCAGTTTGGTGGGTATGATGACTGACCGCGTCATCCAAGCACCGCATATAGGCACGGCGTTGGGGGATCCTCTCAGTGTTGGAGAACTCGCACAAGTGCGAGGAATCATGTGGTTTGTACTGGAGGTGATAAAATGCTCTGTTTCTCACTGGGAGAGAGCATCGTGATATTGAGAGTATATCTTGGCAACCAATGCGCCCCGCCCTTTCACATTGGTTGATTGATCTCCTGCCCCTGACTAACTAAAGAAGCTCAGCTTAAACCCAGAAGAATTCCGTCCCAACCCCAACATCCCATCACAACCTCTCATTCACCCACTTACTCTCCCACCTCACCCCACTCAGCCTAAACAACCTCGTAATCGGACACCTCCTCTCGACCTCACTCACAAACCTCTCCCACCTCTCCCCCTCCGCATCCGTCTGCACCCTCACCCTCAGCCTCACCCCCTCCCAATTCGGATTCCCCTCCGCCGCCCCCCTCACCAACACCGCCGTCGGCAAATCCGCCTCCACCTGCACCTCCCACTTCCCCAGCGAGATCCCATGGTCCCGCGCCACCACGTGGCCCGTCACCTGGTTGCACGAGCTCAGGCTGGCGAGCGAGTAGACCACGGGGGAGGGCGCGGAATCGCCCCCGCCAAGCAGCGGGTAGGTGTCGGCCGTGAAGGTGTAGGTCTTGCCCGGGACGGAGATGTGTTGGACCGTGCCGGTGCCGGTGCCGGAGACGCGGACGGGGAGCGTGTCGTTGGGGCGGGGGCGGGTGGTGCTGAAGGGGCGGGGGTACTGGGTGATGGTGGTGGTGGTGGTGGTGGTGATGAGGAGGGAGGGGCGGGTGGTGAGGTTGGTTGTTGTTAGGTGGCGGGTGGGGAGGGTGGTGAGGCGGAGGGTGCGGGACATTTTGAGGGTTGGTTGGTGGTGGTGGTGGTGTTGTTTGAGTTTGGTTGTTTTTTGGAGGGGGGGTTTGGGGGTGAGAGTGTGGTGGCAGTATTGTTTGGTGGCAGGATGTGAGATATATGGATACCGGAATGGAATTTGCTCTGAATTGGTAGTTTGGCGGACTTGAGTGACAAAGAGTTGTTCCAATCGCATCTTTATAGACAAAACCTTTGTTGATCGGCGGCTACGTTCTGGCGACATCACACGAGAATATGACGAATTTTGGCGCTCTTGGCGGCAAAATGCTATTGAAATCGCGTCGTTTGGGACTCTGTGGCCGAGAGCGGACGCAGCTAAGAATCATTGCGGGGGTGGCTGTTGACGGGGCATTCAAGCTGCATAGGCGTGACACCAGATTTATCATTTGACCGAGGGTGGACGGAGCTAAAAGTCTAAAACCGTGGGGGTTGGTCGACATGTTCCTTGGGGTACCAAATGATTTGAGGGCCGATGTGGTTCGAGCTTGCCAATTCACATTAAAAGCCGAAAAACAAAACGCAGCTCAGCCTGTCCTTTACGCTCAGCAGCCTCGCCTTTATTTTCTCAGCATCCTATTCCAGCCTCCATGTCGTGACAAGAACAAGAGGACGAATGATGAACTACCTACCTAAACAGCAAACCACCATAACATCACGGAGCACCAAGTCCAACCTCAAGCTGCCACTCCACCCTGTCCCAAATGTTCATGGCCCGAACGTTTGCCGGTTTTGTCCGACTCCTCAATTTTCTTGCGAAGGTGTCCCATGCACTTGGACTCGTGGCAAGTTTCGATGACGAATGGCTCGTCGTCCATACCGTAGTGATTCATGGCGGAGCTGTCACACCTCCAGGCATTGCGTGACTCCCGCATGGTACCCTGTTCGGGATCCTGTTCGTACACGCAGCGGAACAGCTGGGCAGCGGCTAGGACGTGGAACCGGCTCCATTTTGTGTTGTGCGCGCGGCGTTCATCGTTTTCCGGGGACGCGGTGGGAGTCCCTGGCTCGGTTATGTCTGGCGGGCTGCTGGTCTTGTTCTCGGGTATGGCGCTCTCTTTGGCGGCCGGGTTGGCGCTCTCAAATGACACTGCTCTTGCTATTAGCATTGTCTTCTGTGGCGCCTTTGACGACGCTAGGCTGGTGGTTGAAGTGAATCAACAAGGACGTCAAGCAGTTTAGCAAGATCAGTGTTGCTAAGATGACCAAGAGGACGACGATGCCGGTCAATGAAAAGGTCTGGATGTCCGGGCTCTGGATAACAAAGTTGCCCGCGCCTTCTCTGGGCTGTCCGTCGACCCCCTCGGCCACGTTGCCGTAGTTGTCGGGCTGCCCGAACATGACGGCGTCTGTGAAGATGTTTCTGGTCGCCACGTAGCTGGCTAGAATGAGCCGCTCCATGTCGGTGAACATGCTTGACGAACTTGCGTCGATGACGCCGTTGGGACTCGTTGTGCGCGACCTGAGCGCCGAGCTGCCGCTCGCACTGCCAAGTCGGACCAACATGGGCCCGCCCCTGAGGGTGGTTTCGAGGATGTCGAGAAGAACCGGCGGGATTTTGATCCCGGGGAAGTCTCTCAGAGCGACAACGGAGCCAACTGGTTGGCCGGCGTAGGTCCAGCTGTTCTTTTCGCGGCAAGAGAGAGCCGGCCGCCGACGTTTCATCTGGAACGCTGCGTTGTATATGAAAGCGTCACCCGGCTTCTCCCGGGGTTCCGTGGTTACCTGGACATAATAGTTTCAGCTGCTGGGGCCCTTTCCTTGTGCAGCATGTCGGAAAGAGAATTGTAAAGTCCTCGAGGAATCAAGGGGTAGAGAACACGGGCTGACATACCAGGGGTCGCTGCCGGCAGTGATGCTAGATCGCCAGGCAGAGTGTATCACGACGACATACAATACGAAATCGCCCGCTTCCAACTGCGCTTCGGCATTTGGGTGGTTGAGGAAGGTCGCCAACGGAGCATGTGCCGTGTCAAATTGTTGAGAAGGACAGATATAGAACTATTGGGGTCTTCCCAGGGCCGATATTCGTCGTAAAGGTCCAAATGATAATCGTCGTATGGGTCTGTGCTATTCTCGTCCTTGGTGTGGTCTATGACCCAGCCATATTCCGTCATGCAGTGGCCCTCCACCACCAGACCGAGGTCTGAACCGCCGGAGATACCCAGGTCCACCCCGGAGAGCGAGTATCTGTAGTCAATTCCAACGTTGGGCTCGCTGCCTGCCGAGGTGTCCAAGTCCTCTTTCTTCTCGATCGCGACCTTCTGTCGCAATGTGACGGCGGCAGCCTCGACGCTGCCCAGAGAGCGCATGACTGAGGGTGCACGCAGCCCAAAATCGCGCAGTAGGTCAGCGCTGGATAATGGCGCTGGAGTGGTGGGACAAAAGACGGCGCTCGGGCGCACGGGGGCGACGTTGCCGATCTGGACCAGTGACGGGGCGATGATACCCATGGCGATGCTCGACCCGAATACAGCCAGGGCTAAGAGACAGAAAATGAGCCCGTACCAAATATGGTTCCACCACCCGGCCCGCTTAGATTGGGCCTGGCGATATGTATATTTCAGCAATTCCTTGAAGGCGAACCAAGGGTCGTTGGAGTTCCAGATTACGACGGCGGCGACGTATCTGTGACGTGTGGACTTCGGGACCGCGAGCACAGCAATGAACGAGATAAAGTTCCAAAGACAGAGGAAGGACACGGTAACCACGATGGAGAGAGCGGCAGCTACAAGGGTGGAGCTGTTACCCGTGAATGACACGGCCCATCTGTCTCCTATGTCGCTGGGCATCGAAAAGGGGGTTACCAGGAGATAGGAAAAGTCTGGCGGTGGAGTATAGACGTCTGCCATGTTTCCGAGTTTACCAGCGTTTTCCCTTCGCGTACTATGAGGCACTGTGAGTCTGTGAGTACCTAGTTGACGGCGGGGGTAGGTTAGCAACTTAGCCCCCGAGTAGATTTGCTCGTGAACGTACATGTACCCGGCGTTGAGGTTTGGGAGGATGAGACTGATGGGGAATGAGAGAGCTTACAGCGTTTGTAGCCACGGAAGGAGAGCTTAATTAAGTGATCCTCTGCGGAGAGAAGACAGTTATGCTAAACTAGATACCTACACGTAAGAGCCGCATCGACAGCCTCAGATTTGCCACGAACTAATCATTTCAAGTCTGTCGTTAATCACATGCCGTGATGGAGATCACATTAGGTTCTTTGCAGCCCAGCTGCGGCTCAACCAGGCGGGTAGCCAGACGGCGACCAGCCGGTGACTAAACGAAGCAAGCCACTTTCTTCTTGTGTAACTTCCTGACCTGGCCGCATTTACTAATACGGTGTGGATAGCCATCGCATTGATGGGATTGGATTCATGCCAATAAGCCCCGCCGAAAAGCTCCCAATGTTATTCTGACACACATTTCACCACTCAACTTGCATTGAGCTGAAAGGGATACGTCGATCACGACATTAGTACCCGATGACCCGATGTTGCTCGCTGCTGTGGTCAAGTGCAGATGGAACCCCGATTAGAGCGGCCATGTCTTGACATCGCCGACTCGGTTCGAACAGACATGAAGATCACTTCCCCGTGCAACTTCACCATGCTAGATACAAACCATCCCGCGACTCGTGATTATCATTTGATGTAATCTGGCGCGTGAGGCGGCTCAACATCTAAACCTAGATCCTTTTACCTTGCCAGCTTCGACACTTGAAGCCCGTCACATTTGCTGGCTATTGTAACTTCATGTCAAGTCCCTACTGGATACTTCCGCCCTCACCACTGGTCACATCACACACATGTGCAGAGAGCCTCGTTGGGTCGCTATGCGAGATGCCGAACGCCCGAGATAACAAGGGCTGGGCCAAGTCGAGACAGGGACGCCGAGAGCGATCCCGGACGCACCCGCCCGACTTCTCTTGTAGAAGCTTGTAGTTAAAACTTTACCAATGCTCATGCCGAGATCATTCTCTGTCTTCTCCCAGCTATCCCTTTTTTTTTCACCTTGCCCTCAGCCGTAACCACTTTTCCCTAGTTGATAACAGCCCGGTCTCATCGTTTATTCTGCAACCATGCTCGGACAACACGTCATCAGTGTCGTCGCCATCTTTGCCGCGTTGACCAGTGGACAGACTTTGGTCAGCGTACTCGAGGACAACGGTTTCTCTGAATATGCAGCTCTGATTCAGGGAGATCCCTCCATCGAGGCGGCTTCAGACCTTATCGTATACGCTCCCACGGACGCCGCCCTCGTGGCCAACAATGAGACCCTCAACCGTCGCGTTACGGCTGAAGGCCGCAAAAATATCAGGGCGAGCCTCGCTTGCGTGAGGCGCTCTGCCTTTCGGCCCCGGCCGCCCCCTAAGAGGGCACAAACGTGGGGCAACAGTACGAGGCCCGTCAGATACAGGAAGGAGGTTCCTTCTGGATCCGCCTTCATGTCCTTGCTGAGCGACCCGGAATTTGTCAACTTGGGACCGGGAGTCAACCAAAGCATCGTCGAGAAACACCCGGGTTCTTCGGAGTTACCTGTCGTATTCTCCGGCCTGGGAGAAACCATTAAAGTTACAGGCAATGACATTGCATTTGACCGGGGCGTCATCCGTCCCACCGATGGGTTGGTCTAATCTTTTCCTACCCTTCCCGAACTCTGCGCTTCGCACATCAACTTTATCACTCCCTGCCAGCGGTAGCATTTAGTAATCCAAACAAAACAGACTCCCTACCCTGCCCGAGACCGCTTCCAAGACGCTCCCCTTCCTTGGCGTCAGCACCTTCTTCGACGCGCTCAACCAGACGGGCGTCCTCGCCGAGCTGGACACACGTCGCGGCCCCATCACGATCCTCGCCCCGGACGACAACGCCTTCAAGGGCAAGGCCTTCACCCACGACCAGCTCACCGCCCTCGTCCGACGGCACGTCCTGGTCGACTACTTTGCCTACACCCCGCTGCTCGAGGACCACCAAGTCTATCCCACGCTGGGCGGCGGCGAGGTTGTGGTCGCGGTCAATAACAAGGGCGCCGCCTCCCTGGGCGGCGCTGGCATCCTGGCTGGGGATGCCATCATAACCAACGGGGTGGTACACACCATTGACAAGGTGAGGTTGCTGCGCTTTACCTACTACCTACCTGACCTACCCCAACGACATCTTGACTCTCTTCCTGATGAGCCCAACAAGCCGTGTATCATGGTATTGATGGGGACGTCTTGACACAGATTATCGACGCGGCGGGCTCGCCCCCTCCTCTTGTCACGGGCGGCGCAAACAGCATGACGGGACAGTCCTGGAAAGCTCTGGTCGCCAGTGCTGTGGGAGTCGTGCTGGCTGCGGGATTCCTGGCTTGAGGATACTTCAGGGGCAGCTCTCCGCTCAAGCGGGCAAAAAACACCCTCAAGGTTTGAAGAGGTGGGATGGGTTTGAAGGAGAAAATGCGAGGCAGGATGGTAATGATTTGGTCTAGTTGTGGTTATGATACTCTCATTGGCTTCGCTTTGTTCTAGATTCCCTTTGTCTTGGTAACTATGATTGATATTCGGATTTTGTTTAGATATTCTGTGTTCTCTCGTACGCCGTCTCTTGGGCCGTGGAACTACATTACTGTTGCGTCCCTGAAAAAGAATAAACCGTGAGGTGATACCAGGCGCCAAAGCCTTGTCCTGAAAGAAGAGAATGGGCCCGCAGGCAAAACAAAACCCCATGAGCGGTTTCGGAGTTTCTTCCAGCAGCTGCTGAAACCCGGGGACAGGAGATGGCACGCGTACCTCGCGTAGTTTCGTCACTACAGTAAAGTAGGTAATGTAGCCTTGTTGGGCTGCATGCGTGGTGACAAGGGGAGCGCCACGTCGGAGCCTCGGTGCGCCTGAGCAATGTCGACCTAGCCACTGAACACCCTTTCCGTCACCGGGCAGTGAGGCCATCTGCAGCTGTGGCCCCTTATCACGGACAATGAGAGTTTACCCAAGGACCGCCGCACAAGGAAGATGCATTCGACAAGGAGCGGGCGCCAATGGTAACTTGTCCGGCCCTGTTCAATTTCCTGAGGATGTGATGAATAGAGCTGTCTGACGGTTCGTGCTGGACCTTTGGCATGATCCCTGGGTGAGAGGCTCTGCGTCGTGTTTACTCGCACCAACGCACCAGCGCATCAGCCTGGTTGTGGGTGTATTGCTTCGGCTCGCACATCTTGAATGGCTCTGACTCGTTGGAAGCCATGCATAGGGGAAGCATGAAGCACACCCCCGATAGCCAATCGTTCCGCTACCCAACCAATGACGGGGAAGTAGGACGTTGCAGCCTCCAGAGAGGGCTGGCCAGGGTGAAGACGAGGTTATCACCGCTGGCAATGCCTTATTGCGATGCTGATAAACGAAAGACAAGTCGCCAGGGTTACAAAGTGTAGAGCGGTGAATTCGTGAGAAACATCCCGTTACCCAGGAGACTATGGCAATCTCGTCTCTGCCTGGCGCACTGAAGATGGCCTCGGTTTGCATCACGATGGTTCCCAATTTCGTTGGCGGGTACTTGGCCCGGGTCATCCTCATACTGGAATCTTCAATAAGGTATCCTAGGTCTCAGCAAGTGGTGGAAATACCACGCAGTACTGGCAGCGCAGGCCGGCAAGAACAGTCGAGTAGAAGAGGTAGACAGGGATCTTACAGAGCCTTGTGCGCCGTCGGCCACCTCGGTTATGTGCTCCGGTGATATTCACAGAATAAAGCGGTAGCGCGATGGCCGCGTTGACTTTCTTGAACCAAGGGCGGAGATGCTGAATGCATGGTCCAAATTCCGACCCAATAGGACCCTCGCATCAACCAGCTGAGACATCACGGCATGACCTGGTCCAATCTGATAACAGGTAACCACCTGCGGGTATTTTGAGACGTAAAACAATGGGAGATGAATGGCCCGCTTACGGGGGCGGCTCAAGCAAGATGGGGGTCAGGAAATATGGTTTTACATTGGGTTGCGACAGATAGGCAATCCTCAGAGCCTCAGGACAGGCCATCCCGGCATTCTAATGCGGAACACTGGACGAGGGATGCAGGGAATCCCTAGAGCCTTATCTGAGAATCTCCGCGGGCCTCTTGGTCACCAAGCATTGGAACAGGTATTGTGGTAGCTAGGAAGATGAATGGGGTCACGACAATACAGTGTCTAGCGAGGCATCCAACGCAAAGTCTGTAGCAACTGTGATCCTGCTATCTGTCGTTGCACTCAAGAGCGGGCAGAGCAATAAAAGAAAATAGGCTCATGGATGCGGCCTTTTTTCATGATACGGTATGGTTCCCTAGGTAGAGACCACATGGGCCGGTTTTACGTCGGTAATCATGCGGCTTGAACTCAAACCGGACTCCACGCTTGTGACGAACTGTAGTTGTGATTGCTAACTGGAGAACTCCCAGAGCTCTCCAGTACGAGTGACTATATACTATCTAGTATCACCACTCTGTTGGTGATAATCGCCCATTATCACTGACAACCAGTGATAATCGTCCATTATCACTGACAACTAGTGATAATCCAGTTCTTATTGGTCCTTAAGCGATTGGCTGCCGGCGTCCTGCGCTGTCGGCTGTGGCCGCCCTGGCCGCCTCGGGGTCATTCCGTGACAACGCTCTTCCAGCCGTTCCCCCATCTCACAAACCTCGGCCGCAGTCCACCAGTAGCGCCAATTTACATTATCATTGCCCGCGTCCAAACACAACAATTTCAATTTGGGCGCGTGGGTGAGAAAGGCGTCCAGGGCTTCTTGGGTGGTAAAATGAGGTATTGCCAACACCTCGGGGCCGATCATCTCACACCGGAATGTTTCCAAATTTGGACAAGTAGACAAGACCTTGACCAGCGTGGGGCGGTCGAAGATGCTACCGTGGAAATCGAGGCTGGTCAGGTTGGGGAAGGCCACGTTTTCCAGTCCGTTGTCCAGTTTGTTGTCCGGTCCGTTGTCCACTCCGTTGTACAGTCCGTTGTCCTCTCACTCGCACACGGCGGTGACCATGTAGAAGATGGCATGGGTGGTGTTTGGTGCGGCGTAGAAGAGGGCCGCTAAGTGTTCCAGACTGATGAACCCACCTATCCCAGAAAAGTCCTCCCTGTCGGTAGGTGCCCAGTTGTTGTGGCTGAGTGATATGCGGCGCAGATGCGGCATGGAGCGGGGGCCGCAGAATTGGAAAGCCTTGTAACACGAATGACGGACGACGCCTGTCAGGACTGGCAGGTTTGGGCACAAGCTGGATAGAATGCGAATGTGTGTGAGCACACAGGAAGACGATACCAATGTGAAACTAACAACAGGAAGCGATGCCACTGCGTGGGTTAAGCCCACGCAGGGCGGGGCCGGGCGGTCTGGAAAGGTGGGCCCGGAATGCCGGCGCCCGCAACAGAATGCGTTTGTTTATCCCACCTGTCGGTCTGCGTCTCCAGGGGAACATCGCTAAGGGGGGGCATGGCTTCATGACGGGCGTGTTCTGGGAGGGCGTCCAGTTGAATCTTATGAAGGGATTTCTTGTAATAATCTACTACCTGGGGAAGACAGTCGTCTTCGTCCAAGGTCTGGTAGGGGCCGACGTGCATACTCCTAATGGCCCGCGCAAAGTCGTTGCGGTCAAGGAGGGTGCGGGCAAGAAGCCACCATCGTCGGCCATTAACGCAGTGGTAGAGGTGCCGTGCGGCGACGTGGTTGAATGTTTGGCATGTCAAACAAAGTGATGCGAGGGGCGAGATTCGCCTGCAGTCAGCCGGATGAAGTGCTAGGGAGTAATAACAGCTGGTGCCGTTGCAGCATCGCCTGTCGATTGGGGTGCAATGGACACAGAAGTCTGCCACGATTTTGTCGAGAAGTTCGACGGGAAGGTCATACAGATGAACCATGACGGCCAGCAAAGGCAAAGCAAGGCCCGCCGTGTGTAGTGGCCAAATATGGGGTCGAAGTTAAAAGGCTCTGCTGAACTCAACTGTGTGGTTTCAGGTTTGGAGCCTGTCGGCCGTCTATGTTTTGTGAACCTTGACACCTCAAGGTCCCCTTAAATTCCCTGGCCGAGGTCAAGTTGAAGTAAGCCCTGGGTTGACCCCCATAGCAAAAAGGAACAGTTCAATTAGTTGTACCCAGATCAGTTGAATCGATCCAGTTCAATTCTTAGTTGTCCCTAGTTCAGTTCCATGTCACCTTGTTCAACTACCTCCCTAATCGCATCAACATCATCACGTTTCTATGCCCGATATGCCATTTCCAAGTGACGCCTTGCCCGCCGGGTGTCAGGGCGGTCAAATTTTGGATTATCGATCTTCCGGACTACTGTTTCGGTGTTAATAATGACGGCTGCCGGGACCGATAATAGACGTAGAATAAAGGGGCTTACGCTGTGTAAAGGTGTCTCTCGTCCGCCTTTGGTACCACCACCCAATGAAGCTCACGCAAGTCATGAAAACGATGGCTGTAATGGCGCATGGCGCCCAGTGTACTAGCCATGCACCCTTCGTTAGCCCCTTCACTTTGCGTTGTTCGGTTGATGCTGACTCCCGAGTCCCAAGTTGTATGGGTTGAGCGAAAAGAGGGTAGAAAGCAGAAGTACTTGACTCACCGATTGAGTTCCTGATCATCTCCTCGCTGTTGGTCGACAATATTGCCATCGGCTTCCGGTCCGTTGGCGCCAGCCAATATTGGACGTTGATGTAGCACATGGCAGTACGGTACACACCTGAGAGGTAGGTCAATGACCACCCGTACAAAGAAAACAAAGGGAAAACGGAAAGATTAGAGTACCCATAATCTGCATCAGCGTGCCGCCCAGGCTAGAAAAGACAGCCCCGAGGCCGAATACGACAACAAGGAAATAGTACATCCCGCACCACACCGCGCGGAACGACCACAACTCGCCAGATCGAACCACCTCCCACGCCGTCCTCCTCCGCCCATCCGCGCCAAGCAGCCACTTGACCGAGGTCGGGTTATAAAACCCCCTCGCATCAAGCCACCCACCCCTACGAAAAAAATCCAGCGGATGGAAACCACGCCGCCGGCCCCCACCACCACCACCATGAACATCATCACCACCACCACCCACCCCAACCCGCGCCCCCACCGCCGGCGGCGCCCCCGCATACGCCCACAGCCATAGCGCGACCTGCGCGGCCTGCATGCAAAAGTACACGGTAAAGGTCAGCGAGCGGCACGACAGCCCCGTCTGGGGCGTGAAGAAGGCGGTCAAGAAGGCCAGCACGAAGGGCACCCCCAGCAGCAGGAAGGTCAGCGAGAGGACCAGGAACCAGTCGAGCGGGGAGAGGTTGGTTTTGGCGTGTAGGTCGTCCAGGTCGTCGTTGGCGTCGGTGGCGGCGTCGTTGGTGGTGGTGTGTTGTCCGCCGTGGTAGGTGCGCAGGAGTTGGTTGATCCATTGTTTTTTGGTGTGTCCGCGCTGCCATTGCCAGGCGACTTTGTAGCAGCTGGGGTAGACGAGCTCGAAGCGGAGGAGGCCGAAGAGGAGCGCGGTGGAGTCGCGGTCGGGTTGGTGGTCTTCGCGTTCTGTGGCGAAGACGCCTTCGAGGATGTTGGGATTGTTGCCCGCGAGTAGGAGGCTGCTGACGATGGCGATGTGCGGAATGATCATGTACCAGGACCCGAAGGCGATTGCTTCCGCGATGTCCTCGTCCCCGAGGTGCTCCAGGCTGGAAAGGAACGCGAAGAGGAAGCCCCCGAGGAAGAAGATCACGGGTGCTCCTACTACGGAGCCGAATGAGTATTGGCACTGCAGCATGGTTCGTAGTCGGGTCTTGGTCCGCGCGATGTGGCCTTTGGTTTCGAGTGTCCACGGCCGGGCGGGTCCTTCGTGTTGACTGTCGTCGCAGTCTCTCGCGCCGCATACACGGCGGGGGTACTGGCACGGCGATTCCTGTCGGATGTCGTCGTCGTCGTCGTAGAGACGGAGGTCGTAAAGCAGAACTTCCATGTGTCGCCAGGGGGAGGCAGCCATGTGGGCGGTCGGTCTCCGGCGGATGGTGGGTACCTCGCTGGTGGTGGTGCCCGGCCGCGGAGAGTGCAAGTTACAAGGGGCGAGATGCTGCCGCGGCCCGAGGGCCGTCATCGTAGTCATCATTGCTCGATGCGTTGCGTCGGTCTCCGAGGACGGCGTCGTGGCTCCGCCCGAGGTTGGTGTTCTAGGGACGAGGAGGTCCGGCCGCGTTTCCATTAGCGGCTGGCCATTGTGGGTAAGGATCTCAAGTGCACCGATAGGCGTGTCCGGTGGCTTGTCGCGTCCCCGAGGAATAGGGTTCGCCACCATGTCCGGGCTGGCGCCAGCAGTCACCGGCAGAGGCAGTGACTGGGCCGTGGAGCCAAGCTTCTGGTGAGAGTTGGAATCCGGCTCGAGGGCTAGGTCAAGATTGCCGATCAGGACGAGCATTAGACAGCGGCAGCGCATGTCCAGAGTCATCTCTGTCTGGATCTTCTCCTTTAGAAAGTCGAGCACTCGATTGTCAAGCATGGCTTCGTAGAGACCGCTAAGGATCATGGGCCCGGCGAAGGCAAAGCATATGCTGAGCCAGATGGTGGTATCGAGCAAAACGATGAAGCCCGCGGCGAGCGCGCCCAAAAGTGCCGGCACGTAGCTCTTGACGCCAGCCAAGTCAGCGACGAAGAACGAACTCGACGTAAGTTAGCACCAATTCCCCGGAAAGCCTGTCTCGCTCTCCCACATCATCCTCCCCACGGATGGACGGCTCTCCCTTCTCACATACCTAAAGACATGGAGCTTCCGCCTCCTAGGCACGGACAAGCAGAATATGACGGCAGGCAGCAGGAAGCCGGACAGGGAATGGAGCCACGCATTCAGGTTGGTCTGGCTGCTGAGTTCCCAACCGGGGCACTGCTCGACCAGGAAGCTGTACCCGATGGCCACGACCGGCGCGCCCAAGGGATCGCCGTTGTACTTAGCGCTGCAGGGGAACTGGCTGCGCGCCGCTGCGCTCTGCAGGTCGGCGAGGCTGCGGGCGCCAATGATAGAGCGTGAACTGTTCCGGATCACGACGGTACCGTTGTCGGTAACGCCCAGGGCGTCCTCGAAGGCCTTGAGGCAGCACCAGGAGAAGTTCTGCCCTCCTAGGTAGGGATTACCCCTTGGTCTTTGGCTCTCGAGGTTGTGGAGCTGCCAGAAAAGGTCCGAGAAAGTGGTGTCGTTGGGGGATGACAAGCTGGCGTTTTGGCCTCGGACCTGAGAGAGAAGTAGGCAGATCAAGGGATAAATTGAGAGGAAGAAGTTCATGGCGCAACTCCGGGCTAACCAAAGGAAAGTAGTGGTTCTGAAGGAATGGACGTTGGTAGAATAACCTTTTTGAGAAATACCACCCCGCACGCGACTGACGCGACCGAGCGGCCAACTGCATTGGGGCGTCAGTGAAGGCGCCCAAAACTAAAAGAGGGTGTGCTGGGCCCCGTGTGCTGCAGGCGCTGCAATAGTGCCGCGAGGCTGAGGCTACCGGGGCCGCGGAGGCCAACGAACGGTCGGACTGGGTTACACAAAGGCGGATGTTGCGTTACTAATATGTCCGATCGACAGTGTGGCTTGCCCAGCTGCCCGTTGACTCGGTGCTACCTCAACTTAGGTAGGCAAGGTGCCCGAGATTACACTATGGAAGGCCACCACCAAAACGACGCCTCCCAACCGGAACGGCTTTAGGCTGTTGGCCCAGGTTAAGTTTCTTCTCTCTTCTATTTGCTTGACATTGTTATTATTCATACTCCGCTATGCCCTAGGACGTACCGGACCCTCAGCTATTTAGACTAGTGTACAGGAAAACCGTGCCCTCCCGGGCCGGGTGAAAAACCCATACCAACATTGCTTGACATTGTATTTGTTGCTTTAGTATGATTTGTCAGAACAAGCCCAGAGCGGCTTGCGCCTAGGACCTGGGTCACGTGACCCGGGGGGCCAACCAAATTACTGGTCGCCAGAAAATTAGACCAGTTCAACAAGTTGAACAAGAACAACGAACAACAAGCACTGCAATTGACAGCCATCAACACCCTCTACTCCGTTCCTTTTGACCCAAGCCTTCAGTGATCTGCTCAATGCCTTGAAATACCGCTGGTTCCAACATGATTCCCTTATAGTAATCGTCTCATATCCCCCGACTTGAAGACTCCGGCTTTTGTTCCCCCTAATAAGGAGACGCAACTCAAACCAGGCATGTGTCTCGCACAGAAAGACGATGCCCGGCATCACGCAAGTGGGCTTCCTCAAATAACAACGCGAGTTGTTGCAGATGGCGGCCTGCCACTGATAGTCCGTTATTACACTGTTCATATTGCTGGCACCCTACCCCGGTGGCTTTTAAACATCTAGTTTTGATCTTGTTGCCTTTTCATCCCTGTGTTGCTATGTAGGTACCTATCCGAACGCCGTAGTAATCAAGGCCGTGGCCAAAACAAACGCTCCCCATAACATGAACTGGTACATCGTCAACCAAGGTGGCCTAGACTCGGCTAGGCTTGGCCGTGGCATGGCCATCCTCGTGCGCTTGGTGCTTCGAACCCCAAGACCTTCCTAGCCTTCTCGCTCTTCTCGCCTCGAACCTCCTGGTTCGCAGCATGTTATATATCAATGTCATCGCAAAGACGATCATGAAAGCTAGGACAGCCCCCATCGGGCCGAGAATCGAAAACACGGCGAAGCCGTAGCTGGCTGCCTGAAATGTGTCGTCCTCGGCCAGCTTAGTAGTCCCCAGGCCGACCTGCATTGCCGACAGAATCAAAAGAATGTATGCCGTGCCGGCGATGATAAGCGCCGAGCTGTAGCGGTAGAAACTCCCAAAACTCGTCCACGTCGCCAAGTATCCCCTCGAAAAGGGCCCCCTCAACACTACCTCGATCAAGTTCAGCCTATTCAGCCTCAACTCTCCGTAGATAAACCGCTCCGCCACATCGCTCCACATATTCTCCTGGCTCTTATGCAGCACCTCACGCACGAACTTCCGCCAGCACGACCACGTCACCTGGCTCGGGATCAACCCCTTCTCAGCCGCAATCCGGAAATCGCTCTCATGGGCAACCAGCGCCACGTAGCCCAACAAGAAACCCATCGCGCACTGCCGCAGGCGCCGTCGGTCGCACAACGGCCCCATATCGCCCCCGCCGCTGCCGCTGCTCTCCTGCGGCGAGCACAGCGCGCCCGTTTCGGACAGCTCGCGTTCTAGCGTGGTCTCGGGTTGTTTGGTTGCTGTTGTCTTTTCTGGCCCACGGCTCGCGTGGTGGTGGTGGTGGTGGTGGCATCGGCAGGTGAGATGGCCTCGCCAGAAGTCGGGGTTCATCAGGTAGCGCGGCAGGGGCTTGATGAAGATGCGCCCGCCGCCCCAGACGAGGTGGAGGTCGATGCGTTCGCTGACGAAGATCTCGCGGCCGAGGAGGAGCTGGTGGTGCAGGGGGCGTGGGGGGACTGGGCGGCCGGCGAGCCATAGGAAACGCATTCGTCGATGAAGCCGTTTCGGTTCTAGCTCTTGTGTTAAGAGGTCTAGGGGTGGAGTGCTGTGTGATGCGTGCAGGTCATCGTCGACGCGGTATGAGGCTGGGAACTGGTCCCAGAGTATCTTTTCAGGGGGTGTGTCGGGTTCTAGCTGGCCGTTTGTTTTTGGTTCGAGCAAGGTGGTGCTTGTGAACGGCACAGACTTCAACACGGTACACGGCGAGCATCCCTGAGGTTAGCCTATAACTTACTGACAGAATCACCTGCGTAAATAGAAAGCAACTCACGCGCGTCGTGTATTTTCGGCCATTTTGGCCGAAAATGGTCACTCTATTTGTGGTTATGGAGTTATCCGGTTGTGCTAGACCACAGCTGTCCTACAGTTCGTGTGACAGCGACACTGGCTTCGGTATTTTAGGCAATCAAATCGGAGGGAGGGGCGCTTCAGAAATAATTTTAAGCTGCGGCTCTATTAAAGTGTCGGCATGGGGAGGGTTGCATCCATGCATGCCGCTTACCAGAAGCAGTAGGAAGAAGTGAGACAAATCTGCATGGGTGGCTCGCCTCCCTTTGCAGTCATGCTGTCTGACACCCTGTGCCACGCTCATGGTCCATCCCCAGTTCTCAGCCCCAGGCAGCATATTTCCCCCTTTCGCGACTGGCTGACAAAGCGCCACCCCCCCCCCAGGAATCATCTAGGCCGCATGCAACTGACGAAGCCTTGCGCATAGAGTTGGGCACATGTCCGGGGCCTTCGGGCCTCGACCTAAAAGTGATCATGTCCCACCCTGTATGAACCGGTTTAAGTGAGGGGCTTCGATTTCACACCCAAGTATAAAGTGGCTGTCAAGAGCTATCCCAGAAATACCTTGTCTCGTTTCGTAACAACGCACAAGGCTGTTTCAACAAAGGGACCCGAGATGGCGGCAATCGGTTCTCAGGGGCTAGAAATTCTAGCTCCCAGCGACTACTCAAACAAGAAGGGAACCGCCGAGATAGACATCATTGCGGTGCCCGGTCTCGGCGCAAGTCCTTCCAAAAGCTTCGGCTCTGAGACACCACGGGGCTTCAACTGGCTCACGGATGAGCGGGAAGGTATCCGCTCCGACATCCCCAAGTCACGGGTGCTGCTCTACCACTACGATTCACGCTGGCTTGGTGCCCAGGCCAAGGAGCAGAGCCATTTACAATGTCGCCATCATGCTGCTTGAGAGCATTGTGAGA